AGAGACAAAGTGATTGTTGAGGATATTGGGTCTTTTAATACCGGAACGATTAGCAAACTCCAAGCGGATGTTTTGGAAAAATTTGGCTGTTTTATATTTGTCGACGCGAGGTACTCTTAAGTCAATTGTTAACACCATCGTGATAAAGTCATGGCGCCGGCACGAACAAACAATTTGGAAAAATAGCGCGATACGTGTATTTCACGTGACTGCTCATCTTCGAACCACACCAGTTTTAAGAGACAAATGTTGCATTTTTGGGAGGAAAAGGGTCCCGATGCCTCTCACGACAGAAAGAGCAAGAATGTGTGCACACAGGAACAAGGCAGCGTAGTTCGCCTAACTTTTGCGTTATTTTTCCTGCGCATGGGCCTAAATAATTAGGTGCAGATAGGAAACTCAACTTTTTTAGGAAAAGGAACAGTTTTCTTTGTTGTCTTTGCAGCATTTAGAAGCATCCACCTATTCTGATGGAAGTTCACAGCTAGACACCTAAGAGAATTTCGGGCGCCAGCGGTGAGATACATTGAACTGCCCTTATGGTAGCTGTGACACCAACATTGGCCTATTCATGGCTGGAGCCCACTTCGTAACAATGCGAGTGTGGCAAATTCATCACTCCTTCGTTGAGGAAAAGGCAAGCAGCACCAAATGTTGCCATGTTTGTCATTGTAACGGCATGCAAAACGTGCTTACTCTTTCAGGAGAACACACCCTAGGCTCCACCGTCAGAGATCAAACGCCACGCTCATTCCTAACAATCCACGCAGCGTCCGCCTCTGGTAAGCAGTACGCCGAGGCTGTGTTTTAAAACATCTGCCGCAAATGCGCATTGATTTGTCGTATATACTTTTACGACTTTTAACACGCGCTGCAGAGAAACAACGTGCATTTACGGTAATCAAGTCACCATACCCAGAGAGGTAGAATGTTTGCGTATTCATAATTCGTAGAAAATGGGTTGGTTTCCTGTTGTCTATGACCATCAGCATCGTTGGCACACATGCATCTATAAATGCCTGCGTTATAACATTAAGTGTGTAATACCAGTGATCACGGTGATTGAAAGAAAGAATGAATGGTGATCGCAGAAGTGATTAATGATTTGCTATCACAGGATCCTCCGCTGCCAAGAACGAGTATCTGTGGAATTAGAGCGTCGCACTGTCGCAGCAGTTTGAAAGGCATGAGACCGAAAGTCATATTAATTTGATATAGCCTAGATATCATTGTTTGTTCAGTGAGCCATTCGCAGCCAGCCATTCGGGAAGCCTGTATTATGTTAATCTAAGTCAGGGTTTGTCCTGTTTTTCCTTGTTCACCAAGCCCAGTGCGTGTCAAGCCGAATCAGGTGGACCCCTGACGGCCGGGCTGCCAGCGAAGCAAACCAAACTTCACGTTGTCTTGGGCGCGTCAGACCCGCTCGTCGGCGCCCAAGTGGAAAGTCAGCGGATAAATCGCACAGAGATTTGCACTGAACGGTTCTGCATCGGTGAACGCGCACATGCGCAGGCGTCCGTGGTGTCTCGGTAGGCAGGCCATCGGGACGTTAACCCCCCCCCCCCCTCCCCCTAACCGAAACAAGCCTCAGCGCTGAAGCGTCGGAGTAGTTCTGCAAGGCAGCTGTCGGTTCGACAGCCTGACTGCGAGCGTTTTCGAACGGCGTGGCACGGAAAGGGATGGGGCATTCAGGCAGTTATGGTTCTACGGAATGACTGCGACGTGGTATTAGTATCGCGGATGAAGTATTTGTTCTGACTTCTATTCTCCTGTAGTGTGGAAGATTGTACACAACTTTTCGGCGAGTTGATTGGTCGTTAGTCGTCAAGCGTCATTGAGTTCTGGGACAGACTTGATGGCATTTGGCTTTCAGTAATGTAGCTATCATAACCCAAACTTTGTGCTCGGCATTGCTGGAATTTGAACCCGAGTCTCCTGATTACGAGCCCAGCATTTTACCACTGAACAAAGTGGGAAGGAAAAGGTTTCGTTTTAATGACAGACGTACGTTGCGATGGGTACATAGCACAATCCGCTCGCCGTTTACACGTCATCCAAAATGGACCCACAGAGTCGCGTAGTCGTGTCTGCGTTCTTCTTTGGCTCTCCACCGCCAGGTGAGAGCGATCCGAGCCTTCTCGTACCGACTGGTGGTTACACGATAGCCACGCGGTGTCTTGGTCAGCTGGCTGAAGGGCCGGTGGACCCTCCTTCACCAACATCGATGGAGTCGATGACGCCGCCCGTCCCATCCACCGAGACCTGCTCCATGCTCAGGTGGGAGCCGTTGTGGAACGTCATACGCGTGTAGCCACTAGTGGATGCTGCGGAAGGCACTCCATGGCGCCCGGAAAGGCCAGAACGGGTTGTGGTCTCATCGCAGCCTGTGGAAAGCAGACAGACGATTAAAGGGAACGTTTCGCATTTAAAGATATTGAAGCCCTCATTACTATGATGAAACAAGCTCAGTTATAGTATCGTTCATACTTTTAGGTAGAAAAGGCTGCTCTGCACAACCCAATTTCACTGCTTAGTAAATATGCTCCTCGATAACCCGTGTTTTGATTACGTCATCACACCTCGCACGACATTGGATGAGACCCGGATGCCCGCCGTTATATCCGGAGATGGTTGCTTGCGACCGCCAGATACAAACGGCTCGGCCATTTTATTTTATCGGGATTGATCGCCGCCCGACTTATGGAATGACGGGACTTGAATGACGTTATTATGACGTCATGCATGCCAAGGTTAACTTGAAGTATTCCCTTCGGGAGGGAAGTCTCTCAATTTTCGTGGGGCGTTTAGCTGAAAAACTAGAGGGGTTTGGGTCTAAGGAAAGGGCTGTGTAACTACACCGAAGATCTTCAAAATGGCTACATCATCTCAAAACCCCATAGAAATGTGGAGCACTCCCTTTAAGCCGCCAGCAAAGTAAAACAGGGGGCCAATGGGTAACTCTAAGAAATTCATCTCAATAAAGTTGACCGCTTCAGCTAACAGCGCTAGTCCGTTACCATACATCCGATGGGGCATGTTCCGCTAGTCGCGGAAATACCTGCACTCCACAATCAGTTCCATATCTTCTTCATTCAACTTTCCTCATCAGTGAGCAATCATCCGAACCCCCGACCCGCCCAGGCCAGGAGCGTCTGGACGACCCCCCTGACGTGCACGCGGCTGACGGCAGACCCTCCCCTGAGCTCGCCGCGCCGCTCCTGTGAGGCCCACCTACCGGCCGAGCGGTAGGTGATTTGTACCGGAGCGCCGGGGTTGGAGGTTTACGGCTGATCAACAGTGCCTTTGTAGACGGCTGTTTTTGAGTTGTTAAATGGGCCAGAGCCGCTCGCTCCGAGTGCCTCGTGTGCCCAGTGCCAGGTCGCAGAGTCGACGCCGTTACTCCATCAGCAGATCCTCCATGCGGGGCCTTGCGGGTTGCGGCAACGCCACGGTGCCAGTTGGTGGGTGAAGGGTCAGAGAATGTTCATGACGTGTAGGAGCAAACCCGCAGAAAGCACGGGTCAACAATACCCCATTGTCCATTACTGTATGCAGTTGCGGAGATGTACCACAGCAAAGTGCTCCTTTATTTTAGGAATCATTGCTTAAGAGTGCTTTATTCCAGCGCACTGCAGACAGACGTCTATCTGGTTCCGACCCCGGTTTAAAAATTTGCTAGAGCGACCCCAAACTTGGAACCCCAGCAGCTGAAGCAAGCTTCACCCCGGTCCAAGCCTCGCCGAGGACCATCCCCCGTTCCCAGCGTCCTGTCCCTGTGGCCACGCCGACGCGTGCTCACATGTTGCGCTCCGGTATGCCGACCCTGAGAAGGTCGTGCGCCTTGGTTGCAGGTCGTCCTGGTTGAGGTTGGTGCAGTACATGGGACGGTGGCCGTACACCACGATCCAGGGTCTCTGAGCGCGCGCCGATGGTTCGCTCGCCATCTGAGCAGGTCGGCTCCGGTCAGGTAGGGTGTGACGTCACACGCCGGCCTGGCTCGGGCGACCGCGACCACGGGTCGCTAGTGAAGCTTCGGTGATGAAGCTGATGGGTGAGGAAGCTGAGACTACAGGAGAACAGTTGTGCACGCAGGACCGCGGACGACGGGACGCTTGTGAAGCTTTGGTAAGGCTACATAAGTTTGTGAAGGGAGGATTGCAAGTGAAACGTATGAAGGAAGTTCAATCGGAAGCCGATAATTACCCTCGTGTTAAGCAAGACTGCCGTGCATGTACTGAAGCTGTAACTTACCTCGTGTTAAGCGATGACTGCAGTGAATGTACTAAGTGAAGCTGAGCAGCCCAAGGAGCTATATTTGACGGAGACTTCAGTAAACGTGACGCAAGCATTGGTAGGTAAGAAAAAACTAGGAAACCCTTCTGAGAACGCGTCAACTATGCTTTGTTATTCACAATGTCACCTTTCGACCGACGTCAACGGCACGGTGGCACTGACGCAACCGCGTTAACGCGAACACAAGAATCCGATACCCAGCCAGATGCCGTGTACCTCTCGCACTCTCCTCGGGAAGGTGACAGGTGCGCACGAGGTCAGGAAGATCGAAAGCACTCGCGACGATAGCAGCGCGGGAGAATTATTGATACGGCGCTGTCTGTCTGTTCACACATTCGTGGCGTTAGGAGCGCTACCTGCTTCGAGTCAGATTTGTTTAAAGGTATGTTGAATTGCTGCTGGCGTCGCGTACCCGCAAATCTGCTTTCATCCAGTTGATTTGGTTGACAGCCTGTTCATAACCATAGTTGGTATAATAGTAGAACTCTGAGGACACGGCCACAAAGTGGACGGGACCCATGTCAAAGCTGAAGAACATGCTCTCCGCCTCTCCAGGCATGCTGAACCTGGAAATAAAGACGTCACATTGGCTCATCACAAACCAGCTGATGATCGGTCGCTGATGTACCCAATGACTCGGTGACGGCGAAAACATGCCAGACCGACGCCAGAGACATCAGCGGAAATAGCCAACCCGACAACGAAGATCATTCATTGTACCCTGCATGATCAGTTAAGTTATTGCCAGTAGTCATGGTAATCTTCCCTCGATTGCATGTACCACCCCCCCCCCTCGTGGCACCCAATTGCGATACTTTCCTCCGGACGTTTGGCCTCCGGGTGTCATGTCGGTGACGTTGTACCGGTGGTCTATCCCGTTCCCCTCGCACCCTGTTCTTCTGTAGTTGGAGGAATTTTCAGCCTCTCCATACTTCGGCGGACTGTTGCCGTAGTTCGAGAGGAATGCTGGCCGTCCCTGGTCCACGAACCGACATCTGTAGGGTGGCATGAAGATACTCATAACGACTCACCTGTTCTTGTAATTGGCGGAAGTTGCCGGCCTGGCTCGTGGTTTGCCGGGGCACGTCATGTACGGCACAAACGGGCGGCGATGGGCTGGATCTGCCGCATGAACTGGTCTTCCACACCTCACCCTGATCGCTGTCCATGTCGTAGGCGAAGTCGCCCACGTGAAGCGCGGCGTCATACAGGCCCTTCTGCGTGTCCTCCTCCAGTTGCGGCAGCGAGCGAGCGTTCTGACCAGCCGGTGTCATCGTCAGAGACAGGACCAACATGGTTTAATTGCTCGCGACGTAAGCGTGGCCTGTCTTGAGTATTGCAGCCATTTTAAGGTCGGGCCTGAACACGCGCGGCATGAGGCGAGCCAGGACTGGCACTGGAACTGCTCGCAAGGAACAGCTTGCCGACAAGTCCACACCGCACCTGTATTGCATACCCACCACGGAGCCGAGGTCGCCGTAGACGACAAGCCGCGGACTCCAGTCGATGCCGGGCTTCATGGCCGAGAACTGGAAGACGTCTGACCAGCCTTCGGGACCGCTCACTTGGTACGAGTACTGCTCACCAGGCTCCAGACCCGTCAGGTTCACGCTGCGTGCGGATCAGGGGCAACATGGGTGTCCAGATACCTGCAAGCCTGTCAGCCTCTCACAATGCGCTGCTTTGAGGGTGAATACGAATGTGCCAGCTGTGACTTAAAGTCCAGCCTCACGGTAGCTGTTTGAGATCACCTAACAAGTAGCATTTATGTGTTGCGGCAAGCCATTCGTATGGCGTGTAATCGACAAAATATGCTTCCAAAGCAATGCCTTTATCAATAGCGAGTTTTTTGCAGTGCTTAACAGTTTATACCATACAAGGTTCGCCACAACATGGTCTCCTCCCTCTCTCCACTCGCTTTCTTTCTTTCTCTCTCTCTCTTATCTCTCTCCTCTCTCTCTCTCTCTCTCTCTCTCTCTCTCTCTCTCTCTCTCTCTCTCTCTCTCTCTCTCTCTCTCTCTCTCTCTACTCGCTCGCTCTCGCTCTCTCTCATGTAAGGAAGGTTTGAATCAGGGCGGCTCTTTACCAGGTGAGTTGCTCAATCGAACAGCACCCTTTGCTTGGAAAATAAAGCGGCATGATGCGGTGGCCAAAACTATTGCTGAAATAAGTTCTCGGGTGAAAGAATAATCATCGTTTTTGTTACAATAATCTCTGATGCTCATTCTAGGCTATTTACCGGTCTTGCGTTCATGTGCTCAAGCTGAGAAAGAAACGTCGAAGACCGATGGACAAAAGACATAATCAGGATCGAATATGTTCTTGCTACATCGAAGCCTTCTGAGGTTAAGCGCAGCTGGTGTTGCGCGGTGCCGCCAGCGCTGGTTAGTCGGTCACCTCTGATCGGACGAGGCCTGTGGTTTTGGAAACTGTACGGCTGATTCATACCGGACACAGGCCATTGAAGCCCGATGAACCCCTGCCGTCACAGATTGGGGACATGCGTCGGGGGCTGGTGTTTACTAAAAGTTTATCGGCCCGTCACTCATCCTCGCTATCTCCCCTCCTCCCTCCCCGATATTTCCCTCTCCTTTCCTCCTCTCTCTCTCTCTCTCTCTCTCTCTCTCTCTCTCTCGCTCTCTCTCTCTCTCTCTCTCTCTCCTCTCTCTTCTTCTCTCTCTCTTCTCTCTCTCTATCTTTCTCTCTCTCTACTCTCTCTTTCTTCTCTCTCTCTTCTCTCTCTCTTTCTCTCTCCCTCTCTTTCTCCCTCTCTCCATTTCTCTCCACCTTTATCTCTCTGTCTTTTCTCTCTCTCTTCTTCCCTCTCTTCATTCCTCTCTACCTCTCTCTCTGTCTCTCTGCCTCTCTCTCTCTCTCTCTCTCTCTCTCTCTCTCTCTCTCTCTCTCTCTCTCTCTCTCTCTCTCTCTCTCTTTCTCTCTTTCTCTGTCATGCCCGATAGTTGATGCTCCAGCCATCCCGACGATGAAGGCCAAAATTGCCAGTCAGAGACGGCACCATATCACCTACCGGTGAATGTACTGCTGGTGATGATCGGCCCCCTGCACAAAAAGTGTCGAGAAACCGGTATTCTGTAACATGTGTTATTTCGTTAAACAAATGTTATACCCTTTGGCCGCCGAACAACAATGCAGACTTAAGTTATGCAGCCTGCCCATACACGAAAACAGTACATTTTTAATTCATTGCAATTTGCAATCCTCACATAGGTATTTTAATGAGTTTTTATATTTTACATGCGTCGTAGACCCTTATTAATCTCCAGATTGATTTTAGACTGTACACCTGACCACTCCCACTTGTCCGACCATAGATTGTGATCGCATACTATGGTTTGTAATCGAGTCAGTGAATCTGTTGGAATAAACTGAGACAAAGTTTTCCTTAGCACACAAATTAATGATGAGCTTTGAGGCCTGTTGCATTGCACCAATGTTGATATTCGTGACGCGAGAGTAGTTTTTCTTTTGATAGGCCAAGAAAATCGTATTCGATACTAGCGCTATCTATTTTTGGCACTGGGATCATCCCACAACAAGTCTCAAACTTGCCACTTTCCATACTTCTGCTTCCTGGTGGACTAAGTATGAGATAGATATCATGAATAATGCCAGCAAAACATTGCCAAATAGCTTAAGCTAACTTTTTATTAAAGAACATTAATTTTGGGTAAAACGCCAAAGCTGTGCAGTTACGAGAATTCTCCAGCAGACCGGGGTAGGTTCAAGCTTGCGATTGCTAACGCATCATTGTAATGATGATTTGCATTGGATATGTGTGGTGTGGGTGATTATTATTATTGTGTGGGTGATACGTGTTTGCTGGAGTTTAGTTTTGCCGGTACTGAACATTTCTTTTGAACAGCTACTTGCATAAGCATGTTGAAGGCTACCCGGTCACGCACAAAACATTTTGTGATAGGCCACCCGGTTTCACTGTCCCACCACCAACTACCGATACTGGCGCGGCTGCAGACGCTTCGATGGCAAATTCCAGGCCGCCTCTCCGCCAAACACAAGCCACCAATCGCACGCGTTCTCCGCCAATCAACAGCCAGAACTAGTACTGGGCCCGATGCAACCCGCAAATCACATTCGCACATTTGAGTCGCCGGCGAGGCTGGCACCTCCAATCCGCAAGTGAGCATCGTGCCATAGTTTTGCTCTGGATATTTATCTCGACACCCAAATGCGAGAGATGAGGATGCGTAGCGCCGCGGGGGTGTTGATAGGTTCGTAACGTGTGGTGGTGGCGAGTTCGATTCGCGGGACGGCGGCGGACTTTGTTTGATATACATGTTACAAGCTTGATACATGGTCCTACAAGCTTGCAATGGTACAGGGGAAATTGCCCCTTTTCCCCCTCCGGTCCACCCCTAAAATCACATGATCACAGTTTAATGGTGGAGCGATCGCTTGCTTTTCCTTGTTACTTTCATAACGCGAACGCATGCAGTCACTGTATGTGTAACGTTGGAATCACACATCCTCCACTGCGAGACCTCAGAGACTGCGAGCTGCGGAACAAAGTGCAGGCCCCGCTGGCCATCTCGTCCTATCGGGCTCACACTAGGAGTGCGACCCGTGCGCACTACCGAGGGCGTCTGGGGCTGGAGCTGGAACTTCGACAGGATGTGCACCCAGCTGCGGCGGTATTTCTGCTACCTGCGATCTCCGCCAACATGCGTTTTTGGTTTCCAGTCTGTGACCAGCTACTGTTTGGGCCGGTGCACCGAATACGCAGGCTCGGCAAGGAGCAAGATGTGCATGAGATCACCCTGACCCCCTCCCCCCCTCCCTACGAATGTGGTACAGGCTGCAGAACTTGTATTAAGTTGTACGTCAGACAATATATTCTGAGTCATATGCTATGCATAGCCGTGCTTGCACCACGTAAGTTGTCTCAGAGAAATGAAACGTTGAATGCCATACTAACCAACATTCTCGTACAACGAGCTCATACTCAACAGCACATTAAATTCCACCATATGGCATGAATCCGGCAATGCCTGATCGCATATTTGACATTATGTAGACCGAGACATTGTCGGACGACGGCTTAAGAAGCGCTCAGAAGCATCGTTTCCATACACCAAGGTATTTTATATCGCTGCTGCCCCACAGTTTGCGTTACCTGCCGGCAACGAACGCCGCCCCAGTATGAGGTGACTGCAACGCTTGGCGTCGGCTTACAGCGATATTCCGATCGGCTCGCGCATCACGAATTTAAGTTTTGGGGAACAACTTTTGCTATGCCGTGTACGTTTGGACTCCTGCGCCAAAGAATCTCTTTGTCTGAACTGATTTTGTTACTGATGACACACTCTACTACATACGTTCAAGTACCATTAGCACTGGCTTTCATCTGGTGCAGCCTTTTTAATAGAGCATTTCAATGTAATTCGGCACACAATCGACGGCTTAGCTTGCCTTCATCAAACCGAAAGCAGATTTACGCCATGCATCGGCATGCCATCCACCTGCACCATTACACAACTTATGTAAGTTTGTATACTTCTGTACAGAAACCAAACGGAATGCAAAACGGAAAGCAACACCTTCCATTAACGTCTCTAGCTGCGTCAATCACAAGTTTATGGGCGCATTATCTCGACTATTTGCCGCCATGAACATCGCGATGCTGCTTCAGGGCGTTAATACCTTTCCTCATCTCCAACCTCCGTGCTTCTTTGTAGACAAAAGCCCCGGTGAGGGAGCCCCGTCCTATCTATGCCGTCTTCATGGCACACGCTGCTGACCTGACCTGACCTGACCGGCTGCGGACGTGTTCGCCCCCCTCTCGCCGCCTCACCTGTGAGTCCAGCTGCGCCCGGCCGTACCGCACCACCGTCTCCCACTCGTCGGCCGTGCTATAGGTGACCGTCACAGATGTGCAGTGAGTCGGGGTGAAGGACAGGTGAATCTGCTCCGGCTGCCTGCCGACCGCTCGACAGCAAGGCGCCAGCAGCAGCAGCGGAAGCAGCAGCAGCAGCGGAGGCAGCGGTGGCACACCTGGCGGTCTCATCCCTGGCTGCTGGACGTGGGTGCCCCGGGGCGTCAGGAGAGGCCGGCTCCCGTGCTGCAAAGGTTCGGCAAAGGGACAGGGAGCAGCTCCCGTGCTGCCGAGCTCCAGGGAGGGACGGGGAAAGACGGGTAAGCAGCCGACATAAGTACGCTGCGAGGTACGTTTGATTGACTGGGGAAGAACGCTGGTGAGATTGGGGCTGGTGCACAGAGCACGTTGAATGAAGACACCAGCAGACGAAGATATCGCCACAGCATGTAGCAGTAGACAGAGTTAAAGCACATCCTTCGACATGTGGCCGATGCAGCACTATTTGACAAGGTAGAAGCGGTTGCAATACTGAATCTGTCTCCGTCTCTTTTTCTGGGTGAGGACGAAAAGAACGTCGGGCTATTTCACACTATCTCAGACACACTCTACTTTAAAGGTGCGCACGGCGTTTGCAGTTCACATCAGGTGGCTAGAAAAACGACACTTTCGGAATTGTAACCATAACTATCTTTACTCGCCTGTCGTAATGGGTCCCATTCACTTTTGCTTGAAAGTTCCTCCAAGCAGCATCACGAGCCATGTGTGAGAATGTTACACAATCACCATCTATGACATCATGCTCATTATGATGTAAACATACCTTAGTGGAAGTTCACGATGATTCTGACAGCAACGCGTTGCCATAAATGCCGAAAAGATTTGAGGGGAACCTAGATTGCTATATTTCTTAGTGCGTCCGATACCACCTGAGACGCTGCCAGGTGTCAGGAAACGTTACGTGGGTAAACATCTAGCACCGCGTGCTTTCGTCTTATCAGTTCACTACGCACACATGCTCTTTCATCGGTGTTCACTGCTGTATCGGATGACTACATCTGACGGTTTGAGCGTCTGACGTGCAAGCACCTGACAGGGATTACGTCCGACAGTGTGAGCACGTGTAAATGTGTAAGCACGCCTGACGGTGCGAACACGTACGACATTGTGAACGCGTATGATGAGTAAGCACGCCCTAGCAGCGGGAGTAAGTCAGACAGCGCGAACGCGTTGACTGTGGAAGCGCGCTGACTGTTTGGGTACGCCCGACAGCGTGAGCAAGGCTGACAGTTTGCACCCGTTCCACAGTAGGGGATGTCACGGTACCTCTGGTGATGTGATTTCGTCTTACTGCTAGCTCTTTGACATTATCACCAACATCGCCGTGCAGATAACCATTTCGACTTCTACGGCATTAAGTAGTGTTCCATATTTATATGGGAGTTTTAACTGGAAATAAACCATCTTAAAGACTTTTAGTGTGTTTCCAATCTGCCTTTTAAGACATAAGCCCGTTAGTTTCTGAGTGACACGCCGCGAAAAATGGGAAAAGCTGTGTCGGCGAGAGCATTTCAAAACCACTTTGGCATTCATAAAATGAATCATGACGTCATTTAATTCTCCATTCCATAAGTCATGCGGCGATCAAGGCTAGGAAGATATAATTGTCGAAGCGTTCATATATGGCGTTCGTGAGCGTGATTCCAGATATAAACATTCGTCATTGGTTCTCACTCAGTGGTGTGCTAAGGCATGACGACGTCGTAATCAGTCCATGACACATGAGGAGAATATTTACTTAACAGAGACTTAGTGCTTTCTAGAACAGTTTTTTTACACTTGAAAGGACACCAAAAGTTATCGGTGAGCTGTTTCATCATATTGATGCTGGCTTCAATATCTTAGGACAATAGAGACAAAGTGTAGCGCGGCAAGAAACTGACGCATTGTGAGGTGTCGCAACGATAAATGAGTGCTGGTTGGCGACGCGACGAGAAACATATGCACTGTGAGGCGTTGCGGCAAGGAGATGGCGCGCTGAGGCGGTTTTGTGAGGAGAAGTGGCGCACTGAGCTACGTCTGGCCGCGCGCACTAGATGAAAGTCTCTCGGTGATACACCAAGCGGCGGCTGGCCGCGCGCCAGGTGGCAGACCTACGGTGATGCACCAAGCGGCGGCTGGCCGCCGCACCAGGTGGCAAACCTACGGGGACACGCCAAGCGGCGGCTAGCCGCCGCATCAGGTGGCAGACCTACGGTGATGCACCAACCCGCGGCTGGCCGCCGCCACAGGTGGCAGACCAAACGGTGATGCATCAAGCGGCGGCTGGACGCCGCACCAGGGGCAGACCTACGGTGATGCACCAAGGCAGCTGGCCGCCGCACCAGGTGGCAGACCTACGGTGATGCACCAAGCGGCAGCTGGCCGCCGCACCAGGTGGCAGACCTACGGTGATGCATCAAGGGGGCTTGCCGCCCGCACCAGGTAGTAGTTTGTTCGCAGTTCTTATACCGTACATGAAGGTCATTTCAGTGAGTCGGTTCGATGGTTAACCCCAACTCATAGCCAGCGTATTCTCAAGCAATGATTATGCCAGTTAAATGTAATTATGTTCATCAAAAAACCAACCGGATTTGTTTTTTGTGATAATACACCCTTATGAATTGAATGTTGTCGATATATATTTCGCAATAAATTACATACCGTGCCGAAAAAGCTGTGTGTTATCTATGTATAATCATCTTCATTCCAAGTAATTTAATGAAAGCGCCAGGTTTTCGCGCTTACCTAACACGGAAGTGCTACATTAGTGGATCATCACATATTAAATTATCATAAAGGTCCAATGCAAATATCAAACCAGTTACTATCGGTTGCACCAGGTGTCTGGCTCTACGCCTTTGGTTTTGGTATCATCACGTGATAACAGCTGACAACTCCCACGTGCGTTACAGCCTCGCTCGTCCGCGCCGCGGATACTCCTTCCCGGCTACGCCCGTAAATACAATGATGCTGGCTGTGCAGTAACAGAAGACAGCCGAGGACTGCAGTGATCACAGCTTCAACTCAGGACCCTTCCTTTTATGAGGACGGTCTCACAGTCCAATCCCACCGGCGCCGCCCGCACCGGCGCTTACCGGCGCCCAGTGGCTGAGCCTTTTGACTGCGAGAACCAGCGCCACCTTTAATTGTAGCGCGGAACTAGTAGCGAGGTCTAGCGTCGCTCTCCGTTACTGGATGGTCAGCTGCGGTGCCACTAAGCAGTGCAGTCTGGAATGCTGCACTGACTTTTGGGCGTGACGAAAGGAAATCGAGTTTTCCTCACGCTCCTGTCGTCTAAATTCGGTTTTTGTTGATGTCCCCTTACCTGATCTGTGGTTGCAATGTTTTCTGATCAGTTAGACACTATGAAATTGACTGAAGCCTTAAACTGCGCATGCACTTGATATAAACAGGAAAACATTCGGGCTCCTGGCTTTCTAGTATCGTGTAAAACACTATCTGTTTACCCAGGTATGATTAGTCGTGATCATACGCACGGTTCAAAGCGGTAATATAACCGGGGGTTCGCAGCATAGCGTCGTTTAATCAGTGTCTCCTGCGATTGTAGAGGTTGATAACTCAGCATAAGTGCTCACAGCTCACAGCTAAAGGCGTGGAAACTGAGATCAGGCTGAGGGACGGACGGAAGCGGCTTCAGAGTGTCAAAATGAGACTCCCAAGGCTCGATCGTGGGCCCCTACAAGCCAAAACTGGCCCGGTACAGGCCAGAATGGATCCTTCAAGTCAATGATGACACCTCTTAATATCAGAATGGGTCAGGTCAGAACTGGCCTTCTGCAGTCCATGATGTGAAAACACTACAGTTAAAAGTGGGCCCTATTCAAGCCGGAGTGGGCCCTCCACAGTCAAACAATGGGCTTTCGTCAGATCAGAATGTTCCCAATACGGGTCAGAATAGGCCCTCTGCATGACAAAATGACAGAATGGGCCGTCGGTAGGCCAGAATGGGCTCTTTACAGGCTAGAATGAGGCCCTCTACAGACCTGAATGAGCCCCTCTACAGACCAGAATGGCCTGTCTATTTTCGATAATACGCCTTCCACGTATCAGAATGGACCGTCGACGGGCTAGAATGCATTCTAAAAGCCTATAATGGGCCCTTTACATGTCAGAGCCCCCCAAGAACAGATCCTCTGCAGTCCCGGTACACATGCCTTATAATAATGTCAGGTCAGAGCGAGTCCTTCTGCAGGCTAGACTGGGTCCTCTACAGGTCAAAATTGGCCCCTCTACAGTCAATACTGGATACTCTGCAGGTCATCACGGGCCCCTCTACAGATCATTGATGCCACCCTACAAGCCAGAATAGTCCTCTCAAGGCTAGAATGGGTCCCTCACAGGCCTCAAAAGTCGCGGGGGAGACGGGCAACCGTCCCTCAAGCTTTCAAGTTGGAGGGGAGGAGAGGCAAGCTTTGCCCACTGCTCCCCCCCTGGTTCTGCGTCCTTGTTTTAAAACAGCCTAAAAACTGGGCTTAGAATACGGTCCGTGCCACACATATCTGGGCTCCGTCATAAGGGAAGCGAATGTGAACAGCGGCTCAAGCTGCTTTTCCCAGAAGTCACTTCTGTGGCCTTGAAGGGGGTAAAGGGACACCAAGAAACAAAAGTATCCAGGATGGGCATTCATGAACATTTACGTATATGCACGGTTGGAAAATAATCTGAGCCATCTAAATGAAAATTTTTTGCACCCAACTGGTGCATATAGATGCGATTGATGGGAAGGTTAAAAAGTGGGGCCATTCAGCGCGTGATTGGTGCCCCAGGTCGTCGAGCCTGAGGTTGTGTGCGCCGCTTGCTGGCCACAGGCTACCGAACCGAAGCCTGCACGATGGGCCCGCACCATCTGTATCCAACCTTGCAGGTTTTCCAAGCGCCGCCGACACAATACGCGGGGAATAACCGTATCGTGTGAACGCTGCCTTCCGCATGCTGTCAGAGGCGGCCGTGTTTGCCGAACCATGGGTTCCACTTGACACGAACCAGCAGGTGCATGTGGGTAGTGGCATTCACTCAGACGGGTCTGGAAAGCGGTCTGCATGCTAGCCGGGACCGATCGGAGGCGACAGTGTGGTTGGGGCCACGCGCGCACGCTGGCCGCTAGCTGGGTTGCGGCAACCGCCCGTGGC